TCTGATTCTCTGATTCTCTGATTCTATGATGTGTCCCCGTTATTTCCAAAGGGCTCCTCTGGGAGGTGGCAGGGCCGGGATCAACATCCCTGAAGGGATAATCCACTCCCCAGAGCTCCCGTTGTTGGAGTGCTGCTCCCATCTCCCATCCAAGCTTTCCCAAATTGTTTGGGCCCCCAGGCAGTTCCAGAGGGTTTTTTTTTTTTCCCCTCCTTGCTCACCTCTGCAGTTTGCTGGTGGTTCTGACTGGAAATAGGACAGCAACACCCAAAAAAAAGTGTATTGAAAAGAAATCTTGTAGTAAAAAGAACAAACTCATGTTAAGAATTAAATTGGGTCTCAGTGCAATTCCTGAACAGCTTTGTAGGATGAAAATATTTCAATAAGAAAACCCTGGATTTTTTCCTTCCCTTCAGCAAAAATAGAGATGTTATTAAATATTTACAAACAGTTGGGATATTTCCTTTATACATACATATATATATATATATACTTATTCTCTTTTTTTTCCACACCTGAGGGCTGTAAATTCGGGTTTTCCTCACATTTGTTTCCTTCAGGTGGAAGTTGGAGAGATCCTGGTGCCCCTTCAGCTCATTCCACACTTCCCGAGGGCCATCCAGAAAATCCACCAGGATACTGGAGAGTTCCACCCCATAACAATTTTTTTGCTGCCTAAAGAAAAAGGTGGAATTTGACTCTTGTATTCCAACAGTGTCCCTCAGCCAAGCAAAAGAATAAAGGAGCAGAATGGGGGGAAAAGAAAGAGGAGAAAGAAAGAAAAGAAACCCTTTTGGAACATTCCCTTTTTGCCAGGATGACCTTTCAGGTCCCTTCTTCTACGGCCAAACTGAGAATCAGCTCTTGGTGTCCAGGCTTCCAGGGATGGCAAATTAATCCTTTTTATCCTTTCCTTGGCACACAGAACCAGCCATTGGTAAATCCCCCCAAAATGTAGGGAAAACAGCTCCTTTTTTTTTTTGTTTGGTTTGGTTTGTTCTTTTTTTTGTTTGGTTGGTTTTTTGGGGTTTTTTTCCCAATACGAGTTGATTGGAGAGGTCCAGCCTGTCACAGCCGTGGCAGGGGAGGAGGGAGAGGGAAAAGGAACGGGGAAAAAGGGGAATAAAAACACCTTTTGCGTGTGGAGAAAGAAATGCAGGCTCGAGGCAGCCTCTTTGTTATTAGGATGGGAATGAGGTTGTTCAGGGATGTGGAAAAATCCCTGAAATAGGGACACTGTGATGGGCAGCAGGAAGGGCAACTGCAG